GCACACTGAGCAAAGAATAAAATATAAATACTATTCAATACAAATACTGTTTGACTTACCATATTTACAGCGGTACTGACAAACACCATCCCGACCTCCCATCAGCTCCAGTATGGAGTCAAAATAGCCATTCACTGCCTGGAAACCCCCTCTGATAGAACCGAAACCCCAGTCCAACTCTTCCTCAGATTCTTGAGTGGAGCTCTGGGTCTCTGCAGGTTTTTCCTCCACTGGGGCATCTGCCATCAAGATGTTTTCTGCCTGGTTCTGCCCATTAGCAGGAACATCTGGGGTTTCTCCAGCCTGAGCTTCAGGTAAAACAGAGCCGTCAGCTGGAGAATCCACCGCAGCTGCATCAACAGAGGCCTGGATAAGGGTGGCAGCCAAGCCTGTGGAGATACATAGCAGGAGCAGCGCCAACGCACGTGGAAACATGATGTGGCCCTGGGTCCTATGAGGTCTGTAGGGTCCAAGAAGAAGGGGAGACCGATAAAGCCAAAGGGCTTAGAAGGAAAAGAGTGAGCAGCACAAACAGACTCTGTTGATAGTGCCTCGTGGAAGGGACTTTGATCTGTGATTAGATCAAGCGACAGTAAGGCATTGATTGGTGCTAAGGTTAAAGGTAAGGTCCAATCTCTTGCTGAGACTTGCTCTCTCAGTGAATCACAGTCATACTCACCCTTTGAAATCAACTTTTTTGCTTTGATTATCTGCAGTTCACACTTTGCCTGGAAAAGAGTCTCCTCTCTCACACAATAATTTTATCTAGAGTTATTGTATTTCAACTGTTTTTGTCATTGACAGACTGTTGGTATTTCAAAGGCCTATGTCGTGCTCAGCTGTTTGGTTATACGAAATTTGTACGAGCCATAGTGATTGCATGTATGATGTAATGCTGGATTGCAAGGCTAAGATAAGATTTATGGGTCAATAACATGGCGTTTATTTTCTTTGCCCTGTGTACTCATATAATAGTATTAATATATTTAATAATGAAATACAGTGCAGAGACCTGAATCGCTTTTGTGGTGAACATGCTTTTAATTTCTAAATTAAAATTATTTTTGATATTTTTGGGAAGCATAAAGTCAGAAATATCAGTTAGCTTAGTCAGAAATGACATACAGTTGCACACTAAGTCACACAGAGTTTAATGGATTCTCTTCGAAAATATGAGGTTGTAAGGATTTGATGATTTAGATTTAGAACACCAGGTTTGTAAATTATTAATATTTGACTGACAATTATTAATATTACATCTCTTCAGTAAGCACTCACGCTGTATAGTTGTTAAAGAGGTGTGCCTGCTGCTGATGTGCAGTTGTTCATACACTTTCCTAACAAATGGACTGCAATGTCACTTATTTCAAACTTACTTCAAAGTGCTCCGTGTAGGAACGGAATACATGTGGAGGCATCTGTTGTTTCGGTTTCTTCTTCACTTGTGTTTTTTGGAAATTCTGTACAGAAGATGTGTACTAGCGTGCCCTACAGTATAACAATGAAAACACGGATACTAGGAGCACAATTATAACTAAAATATATTTAGTATAAGTCAAGTATACTTAAATGTCATTTTAAGTATATTTCTGAGAAGTACATAAAGCCCATTTCTGAGAAGTACATAAAAAGTAGACTAAAAGTATACTTTCCTGTTTTTAGTTTAAAAGAAGTATACTAATAGCACACTTGAACAAACTTATTTTTCGTAAGGGTTGGCTGATACAGATGGGGCAGATGGGAACGTCTTCTTTAGGTATCAGCTTTCACATCTACTATTAGTGTTTTTTGGGCCGTGCTGGTACAGTATGATCGAAGTGATGATGAATTAAACTTTTAATCAAACAAACGTATTATTATTATTATTGCTGTTGTTTTCCCATGACGTGCTACTTTTTAATGTTTAAAGACAGCGAAGATTGCTCGTGATCTGTAGCGCCTCTGTCTGTACGCAGAATATAGCCTGATGCCCTGACATCAAACATTTCGATATGAATTCTGCAACGCCATTTCTAAATCATGTCTGTCTGTAATCATGCGTGTCATGCGTGTCATGAATTCATAAATGAATATCCATACAGAACAAAAGAAAATTGAAATCCTAGTCCTAGTAGCTTACATTTCATCAAGTGCCACTAGAGGGCAGCAGGAGGCTGATACAGCTTATTTCAAAATATTCACAAATATATGAGCCATTCCTCGAATTTGGTAATATTTCAACTTGGAATTTTCTAAATACCCATCATTAGACATCAGTATGGCATTATATATGTTAATTTTCAATATTGTTTCACTCTCATATTGTGCCCTTCTTTCTGGGTCAACATAACTGCATGCACAACACTCTTTCTGCTGCTGATGTGGGTGCCATTTCTGACATAGGATGCATGTCAGAGTTTAAGTGGACCCATTACATCAAATATTCTATTCATAACAACATTTTGAGTTGTCATGATTCATGATTTTGGTAAGCATATATTTACTGAAACCATGACTATTACACACACACACACACACACACACACACACACATATATATATATATATATATATATATATATATATGCATTTTTTATTATCTACAAATATACATATATATGACAGGGTTGTGTTTTTTTGCACAAATTGGCCACTGCTACTTGTGTAGTGTAGGAGAGTAGATGGCATATATGGCATGTATGGCAACAATAAAATAAGTACATAACATATACTTATGGATTAAAATGAAATTAAAATGAATAAAAAAATAAAAATGTTCCATCTTAATTTCATGTGATGGGGTTTAGTTGTTCAGCTTGACAGTACACTCTGACTATACGCCAAAAAAAAAGAATAAAAACTATGACACTACTTACCATTCTCTGCACTACTATTAAAGGGACCTGAATTATGTCACACATGGTTGGTCTAAATTATCATAGGTGTAGAATGGTTAGTGTTATGCGGTTGAGTTGAGACTGAGGGACATAAATATATATTCAGTTTTTTATAAAATATCTTGCATTTTTAGAAAAATACTGGACACATTGAGTTATTTTATTTAGTTTTTTCTAAGTACAAATTCAGTGAAGCTCATCAGGGACATGACAAAATGCTTGGTGTAAGATAAGTAATTATTTTATAATAAAAAATATTCAAATGCAATAAATATTTTGATTTATTATAATGGACATACCAAACTATTGTGAAACGCTTTTATCATTTCCTTTTGGTTAACCACCACGTTAAAATGTCTGGGGGACATAAATATTTATATAAAAATAAAGAAGCAAATTACAAACCATAAGACAAATACAATAGATACATATTAAATACACTCGTTTTCCTAATACAGTAGGCTTAACATGTATACATGTATTTAACATCTTTTGTTGTTTGATTAACATTAATGAGACAGACAGGTATTTATTTAGGCTGCTGCCCCTTTAAGACCGAATTAATGTAATATTCTGACACATATTCGGTAAGCTGAAATGTCTCACTTTACCTGCACTCATTCTAGATATACTGTATCTCACAGAAGTGAGTACACCCCTCACATTTTTGTAAATATTTTGTTATATCTTTTCATGTGACAACACTGAAGAAATGACACTTTGCTACAATGTAAAGTAGTGAGTGTACAGCTTGTATAACAGTGTAAATTTGCTGTCCCCTCAAAATAACTCAACACACAGCCATTAATGTCTAAACCGCTGGCCACAAAAGTGAGTACACCCCTAAGTGAAAATGTCCAAATTGGGCCCAATTAGCCATTTTCTCTCCCCGGTGTCATGTGACTCATTAGTGTTACAAGGTCTCAGGTGTGAATGGGGAGCAGGTGTGTTAAATTTGGTGTTATCGCCCTCACTCTCTCATACTCACCTACAGTCAAGCATGGTGGTGGGACTGTCATGGTCTGGGGCTGCATGAGTGCTGCAGGCACTGGGGAGCTACAGTTCATTGAGGGAACCATGAATGCCAACATGTACTGTGACATACTGAAGCAGAGTATGATCCCCTCCCTTCGGAGACTGGGCCGCAGGGCATTATTCCAACATGATAACGACCCCAAACTCACTTCCAAGACGACCACTGCCTTGCAAAAGAAGCTGAGGGTAAAGGTGATGGATTGGCCAAGCATGTCTACAGACCTAAACCCTATTGAGCATCTGTGGGGCATCCTCAAACGGAAGGTGGAGGAGCGCAAGGTCTCTAATATCCACCAGCTCTATGATGTCGTCATAAAGGAGTGTAAGAGGACTCCAGTGGCAACCTGTGAAGCTCTGGTGAACTCCATGCCCAAGAGGGTTAAGGCAGTGCTGGAAAATAATGGTGGCCACACAAAATATTGACACTTTGGGCTCAATTTGGACATTTTCACTTAGGGGTGTACTCACTTTTGTGGCCAGCGGTTTAGACATTAATGGCTGTGTGTTGAGTTATTTTGAGGGGACAGCAAATTGACACTGTTATACAAGCTGTACACTCACTACTTTACATTGCAGCAAAGTGTTCTTCAGTGTTGTCACATGAAAAGATATAATAAAATATTTACAAAAATATGAGGGTACTCTATGTTCAAAATTAAGATATTTGGACACTTGTGGGACATGTTCAGGTAAAATCTTTGTGTTACCCTGCTAGGATACCTGTGTGAAAACACACTACTGCAAAAACTTCTGAACAACAGGCTAATGTTTGTGTACTACTTTATATATTTGTGTGAACTACTACTACTGCTACTAGTTATATATATATATATATATATATATATATATATATACACACACATACATACATACATACACACATACATATATATATAATTAAGGTGCAATTATATTAGTTATTATATTATATTAGTTAATATAATTGCACGTAGTGCTGTTTCTATTTCAATAACCATGGTAAATTGATTACTGTAAATCTTTCCATGTAAGGAAGTACATAAATACATACATGATACATACATACATAAAAATGCACAAAATAAATATTACACCATTTGTATTTGTCAGAAATATTTAATAAAAGTAATTACTGCTCATACATTTAGAGATGAGACATTTATCTCGGGCAACAGTATGCAGTTTCTCTAAATGACCATTCGCTTTATTCCATAATGTACAATTTGCTCTGTACAAAACAAAAACGCTAAACTTTGTATAAAAAATATAAGTTAATTTAAAATGTAACTCTAATTAACAAAATAACAACGGTAATAATCAATAATTGTGGCAATAATATAATAGGAGCAATAATATTAATAACTATAATAATAGTCTCTAAATATAGTGCATATGAGGGCAAAGACAGCTGGTTGTGGATGATCATGGGTGACTGAGGTGACCGGTGCTTAATAGATCCTCTCAACTCTGACTCCGTAGTAGATGGGGTTGGTAGCATTACTCCAGAGCGAACACACTTGCATGCGCACGGGACCAGAAAGTGCATGACTGCCTAAGATAGCACCATTAGAATGTAGCTTACATCTCCAAACTCAATCTCTCTACACACAGTGCGCATGTCGCATGCCGACACAACCATTGGAAGCCATGTTTAACATCCCCATATACAATGGTGTACACCTTTGGTACACTTAAAAACTAACAGGCATCTTGAAGCAGTTTGTGACAGTATTGATTACATTCACTCATCAGTCCTGCAGTATTTACAGAAGGCCATCAGTCAGTCAGAGCTCCAAAACTGTCTGCAGGGACCGCAGGTGCATCTTACAGATACAAAGAAAAAAAACTGATTTGAAACAAAGGCATTATATTGATGGCAAACATTGTCAGAAGCATTTTCAATTGCCCCCTTCACTAAGCTCACACAAACTTGTACAGACAGTTCCATAGAAACTGGAGCAGAATGTGTTCAGAAAGCGGTGAAGAAATGTGACATTACAAAGCATTATCCATCTGCTGATTTTGTGTAAAGAAATGTTTGAATTACACAGAAACAATAATCTTTGAAGACTGTGAATCATGCTGATTTGGGAATGAGAGTTACACAATGTAATCCACAGTATGAACTTCTCAAGGTTTATTTAGATTTGGAAAAGGGAAAGTAATGCGTTTATCATTCTGTTCTCATTATTAGATCGTTTTAAGTGTTGTGGAAACATTTCTAGCCAATTCCTTTTAAAGAATCCAAACATGCAGGATTCTTATGTACATTAGAAAAGAGGTACAGTTTGTCTGGTTTTATGGTGGATGCACTAGTTAGTAAGATAGGACTGGTCGGGTATTTTGAAGGGGGCTAGTCCACAGAGATAAAGGGAGAGGTTTCAGTCATTGTATACTCTTTAAGTAAACCAATGGGCAAAGTCAAAAATGTACAAAAATAATAATTAAAATTTTGGTTCGTTTTTCACCAAACCATATCATATGCACTCAGAACACTTGGAAAATGCAGCACGAGTTGCATGGGATCATTCTGTGATCTTTTTCTTTAATGTTTGAAGCTGATCGCAATTCACTGCCATTATATAGATCAGCGTAAGCAGGACTTTATTATTATTACTATTATCTCTCCTTCTGTGGTCTGAAAAAGAAAGAAGGTCATACAGCACTAGAACAACACCAGACTTTTCTTCTTTTTTTTTTTTTTGTGAACTATCCCTTTAAGTAACTGAACTAATTTAAGTCTGCAGCCTTTTTTAATAAGATGTTTATATATGTCTCTGATGAATGTATTAGTATATGTCTTTTTATTTCCCTACAGTCATTTATCTTTTATTTATTAATTTATTTATTTTGTATCAATTAATTTACAGATCTGGTGGGGTTGTAGTACCTTAAATAATAATTTATTATAATAATAATTAAACAAATTATTTGATGAAAATAATGAAAAATAATTGAGGAAAATAATTAAAATAGTTTGAGAATCAGAAATAGTTCCATATTAAATGTTTGCATAATCAAGCAATCAATTCGGTTGTGTACATTTTCTCTTTTGAACAGATTTGGGGTAACCTCCCTCACTCATGCAAACAATTATGACAAAATATCAGTGTGGATCATCTTTTTAGAGTCATTGTTGTCCTCAGCTCAACATATGCAGTGCTTAACAAATTTATTAGACCACCACCCAATGTAAGGTTTTTGCCACAGCTGCCCTAAACTAACAGTATTGGTGATTACCAAAATAATTGTTTGCATGTTTCTGTAATGGTTAATCCACCAGTATGTGTAAGCTCTTTAGTCACAGTTTCTAATGCTAAAATATAATTATTGTTGGGATTTAATGGATTCAAAGATAGATTGCACACAAGGTTAATCAAAAGCAAGTCTTTGGGAACAACTAGAAACTATTTGGAAGTCAACAACGACAGAGACTGTGGAAAAGTGCATAAAAACAATGCCAGCAAGAATGCAAGCTGTTATTATCAAGGCCAAAGGAAGTCATTCAAAATAAAAATAAAACAGGCTATTTAAGCTTTTTGGTTATTATGTGTGAATAAAGAATATTTAGTTGTTTCAGTTTGTTATTTGCTTAATAAATGACAATAACATTTTTAGTTTTAAACAAGTTTTTGACAGGTGGTCTAATAGATTTGTTAAGCACTGTATATAGCTACATAGTTTTGTGAGGATTTGAACTGAAAATAAAACTTACAAACTCACTCGATTACACTCTGCCCCTTTCTTGTTTGCCATTGGCTCCAATTGTGACAGTTTCATTTCAGTGAGGAACACCGTGACTTGTGTGTGAATACAGTAAGGTTCAGAGTGAAACTTATGCCATCACAAAAGCTCCTTGCTTTGGAAGGATGCGCTTTGGGGGATTTTGGTTTTCAACTCCACTCAGAATAGGCTGTATTTCTTCATTCAAGAACTGCAAAACATTTTTGCTCAAAATATTATATAAAACATCCATCAGACCACCAGAGCGATCGGTTTATCGTGCCTCATGCACCTTAACTGCGACTTAACATTCTTTGTCTGTCTTAAAAAATAAATCCTCTCATTGTGTACAACATTTGTGACCACAGCAGGATAAAAAGTACCATTTTAAACTAGACGAACCATCTTCTAGTTGCAAGTCACCCAACCAGTTCGTAACTCAGGTTCGTATTTAAGGCCTCTTCAAATGTAAGACCAGGAAAGAAACTGAGATAAAGAAAAATAATCACCTAAACGAAAATATGCAGAAGCAACCTCCTAAGGACAAGTACTGCCATTCTGCTGAAGTGATCCCACACAGAGTGGACTCGAGTCCCAGCCATCAACAAGGGAGCCCTGATCTCATTAGAGTGTACGCCTCCGTCACCCACTGAGGTAACATTATGTTTTGTTTATTTTTTCTGAATGTATCCTTCTCCGCCTGGCCTCTGCGCTTCCTCCTGTCTCTGCAGGACGTGGGACTGTCCACAGGAAGTCCAGTGTCTCTGGCAGGTGTAGGTGGTGCTGTGGGACAGGTGCCACGGATTCAATTATCCACTTTTACTGGTCCACTGTCTGATGTCTCGCTCAGTTCGGCCTCGTTAGTAGAAGCCCATGCAGAGGTGTCCTCTCCTTGCACGATTTGTTCCCATTGGGCCAGATTTTCCCTGCAAACATAGACAGCAAAAGCACAACAGTTGGTCTATAGTTTAAATGTGGCAAACAGTCATAAAAATAAAATAGCAAGTTTTGCTTTCACACATTTTCGCCTCTGAACTTAAAGATGTTGTTTTTCAACATAGCACATCATTTCAAATAAGAAATGTTTCTTGAGCAGCAAATCAGCATATTAGAATGATTTCTGAAGGATCATGTGACACTGAAGATTGGAGTAAAGATGCTGAAAATTCAGCTTTGCTTCACAGGGATAAACCGCATTCTAAAACATTAAAATAGAAAACAGCTCTTAAATCGTAATATTTCACAGCATTTATTATTATTATTATTTATTGTATTCTTGGTCAAATAAATGCATGTGAGGTGAGGCAAGAGACTTCTTAAAAAAACTTTTAAAAGATAGTGTATGATTTTAAATAAATATGGCTATTAAAAAATTCTTAAATACTTTTAGTAAGAATTGTTGTTGCATTTCTCAGTTGTGCTCTGTTTGGTTATAAAGTATATGGTTAATGGTGATTTGATTAATGGTAACAGTTGCTGTGTTGAAACACTGCTTTTGACTTTATAATGTAACTTCTCACTTGAAATGTAACTTGAATTAGTTTGTTTATTTTAAAATCTTAAAAATGCATTTATTCTTAAATGCTTAAAATCATTATTTTCAGATAAAATATGAAGTTATTAGAGTCTCCCTTTCAATTAGTGATGCTGATGTAATTTATTGGTCCCTCCCTGATCTCACAATGACCAGGGCTCTGAAGGATCTGGGCCCGCTGCCCACACATTTCAGTTGAAAACCTGGTGCTGACGCAGTGGCAAGGCTTTTCAAATTCCGCCGTCAATTGTGTTTGCATTCCCCACAGATCAAGCTCACAGAGGCTTGCAAGCATTCAACCAGTTTAGGGGTACAGGGGGAGAAGTTTAGACACGGACCCATCCTCACATCAGAACTAGCACAATGGCTACATTATCGAAGTTAATGTGACCTGAGCAAAGCAGCGCAATTAACTCCAGTTTCAGAGCGGGAAAGAAAATGGTGTATTGTATAAAGAATATTAATATGTGCTAAACTTATTGAATTTCATTAAACATCAATTAATGATATAAAATTATATTAATCACAATAAGCAATGCTTCCATTAAGTAATATAGCTATGTCTGTAAAGCAACATAGCTACTTGGCGCAGTAATATAAAATTAAGTTAACGTGTGGTCACAGGTCTGCATATAGCAATTATAACTGTTTTAAACAAGGCTCATCCAGGAATCTGTTTTATAATATTAGTTTTGCCAAGCAGATTTTCAAATATTAGTCAATTGGTTCAATTTGCTAGTGCTTACGGGTGATTATATCACAGCATTGGAGCATTCATGCAGTCAAACATTGTGTTGAGCGTGTGACTGACCTGCAGGCTGTAAGCAGAGGACCGGAGGGAGGAAACAGCTCTGACAGGGTGGTGTAACAGGGAATAGCCACAGCATTGTAAAACCCGACCTGAGAACATGGGTAAAACAAGACTCAGGTACTACTGAACATGGAAAGACATTAAAAAATGGCTTCCCAACTCAAATTTAGCATTTACTCTACAAGTTAACCTAATGAGCTGCCTACCTACACTCTTAAAAATAAAGGTGCTTCAAAAGGTTCTTCACAGCGATGCCATAGAAGAACCATTTTTGGTTCCACAAAGAACCATTCAGTCAAAGGTTCTTTAAAGAACCATCTCTTTCTTACCTTTTTGTAATCTGAAGAACCTTTTTTCACCACAAAGAACCTTTTGTGAAACAGAAAGGTTCTTCAGATGTTGAAGGTTCTTTATGGAACCATTTAGACAAAAAGGTTCTTCTATGGCATCGTGAAGCACCTTTATTTTTAAGAGTGTAGGCAACGTTTTAGGCACACTTCTGACGTGAAGGCATGGGATTGGAAAAGCAACGTTCTTCTAGGAGCTTGATAATGACAGAAAGTTCTGATTTACCTGTCCCTGGGGAACCTCATCCTTTTTATCCCTGTCCATCATAGGGATGGGCTGCATTCCAATCTTCTTCATTTCATCCCCCTATCATCACAAACAAGATGAACAATTTCACTGACTGTCCTTCAGAGGTCTGGTCTGCAGTTTGACATACCGCTCAAAACAATACAGTGATTTGTTCAATGATTTAATTTATTACACAATATTGTTACAACAAGATGCATGTTTGGTTAAGAATGATTAAATGAAAGATTAAAGCTTACCTCAGCCCAGAACTCAGCATAGATGTCATTGGCTGTGAGTTGTGTGACGGACCACAGTTTGGTCACAGAGCAGAGATCACAGGCCGTCATCATCAGACCGATCACACGGTCCCTGCGGCGGACAAATAATCACATAGCAATTCATCAGCGGGATCAGATCAGGGTGTGAGTTACACATACTAGGAATTCTCTACATTAAGATACAAAGCTATTGCTTTGCTTGAATTAAGTTGTAATAGATTTCAAAAACGTCTAAAATCATATAGTATTGACAAAGCACCCATTTCATTCACAGTTTGGTCCAATTTATCAAAAACAAACAACAAAAACAAACCTTAAAACACTTAAAATGTTAGTTTTGTGTGAAATTAATTCATACAGCTTTTGATTTACACTGATTTGATTTAGTAATGTCTGCATGGTGCATTATGATAATGAGATTTTTGGAAGAAAATATGCTTAATTGTCAAATAAAATAATAGTCAATGTCATAATAGAAAAAGAAAAAAAATGAAAAAGGCTTTCTTTGCGCAAAATAAGACTTGTTATTTTTGTCTTTTGACTTTAGGGTGAAATGCAACCTGGATATATTTTCTTTGGTGACTTTATTTTAAAGTGATGTAGTTACATGTTACATGTACTTACCATAGTAATAACAGAATTTACGCAAAGTTACAAGCAGCTAATCCTAAACCAAACCCTAACCTTTAACATACAGTAAGTGCATGCAGTTAATTACACAGTACTTGTGCAACTACACTAAGAAAATCTCACCTTCAAATAAAGTGTAACAGTTTTTGTGAGATTCACTCAAGCAGTATGTTACTACAGTGGTTCCTAACCCTGGTCCTGGAGGCACCCCAACACTGAACATTTTGCATGTCTCCTTTCTCTGACACACCAATTTCAGGTCTCTCTTGTAATGATCTGATGACCTGAATCAGGTGTGTTTGATTAAGGAGACATGCAAAACGTGCAGTGTTGGGGTGCCTCAAGGACCAGGGTTGGGAACCACTGTGTTACTACTTCAAGCAGAGCCTATGACACTGTTTCAGATGGCTCCCTGAAAATATCACTAAAGTTGAAGTAAGATTTTCAAGAGTTCTGTGATAATGGAGATGAACTATGACCTCTGACCTGTGAGCACGATTGTTCAGGTCCAGCACCCCTGTGGCCAGCAGTTCAGCCAGCTGCTTGCGGTTGCCGAAGTACAAAGCGAGGTCTGTAGCGATGATGGCCTTTCTGATGATCTCCAGCACCTGCTCATACTCACTGGAAGTCAGGTTGGAGAAAATATTGTGCCCTTCCAGCTATGAGAAAAAAAGAGATCAATAAAAAAGCAAAAGCTCCACTTATGGGGCGTCTGGCTCTGCTGGAGAGTTACAGCGAAGCCGAAGGGACATCCAAGAGATAGCTGACAACCAACTGACTTATGATGGGAAATTTCTTAAATATGGAAATTAGAAAAAAGACATTAGACCCACAAACTTTTTTGTGGCTGACCTCATGAGAATACAGAAATTAGAGAGATTTAGGGGCAAATTGTGCTCTATTCATAAATGTCAACACTACATTTAGTTATGACCACCAATGAAAAGCAGGCAGTAAACAGAATTTCATTTAAAAGACAGCAGCAGTAATTCATCAAAAGATGATTAAAGGAACATTTAGTTAAAACTGGGAATATATCCACACGTGTGATGCAGTGAAGTGCACTTCTGGCATTTAAAAAAAGCTGAATCAGACTGTTGGAGTGATGATCTACAGTCCTCTACAGCTGGCCTGTAACATGGGGATCTGAAATGCATTCGGCACAAATTTTGGGAGCATGTTTGCACTGATACCTGATTTGTAAATAAATGGCAATACCACGTGAATGCATCCTTGTAGGTCAGCTTTTGTCAATATGACATTCAAAGACAATGTGATGGTTTTTGCATGCAAGGCACTACAGGCAAAAACATTTTTATCAATTTTATGATTTTGGTTTCAGACTAGTGGAAAGAAAACATAAAAAATACACTTTGAAGTCTTCCGGTTTTATTAATTTTATACATTTGTGTCTCTAGATTTTAATTACAATACATATTTTTAAAGTCCATTTTCTTAAAATGAAGCTTACAGCATTACAGTATTAGGTAATTTACTGTCTATTCCCATCTATATCTATAATGCATTACTTTTACATTTACAAGAAAATATCTAAGTTACTTTTTTCAAATAAGTAACAAGTTACTTTGTTTTCACATTTCCTCACTGACACATCTCTTTTCTCCTTATTGAGAGAAATTGTGCGTGAGGTACAGAGGCATTTCATTTAGCCTGAGGCTTATTAATTTCTCTTTTGGTGTGAAGGGGCCTTTATAGTTACCAAAAATATAACTTTTGGATTTTTTGTGATTAGAATTAAATAAGCAAGCCCAGCTCAGGTGACACAAAGTAATGCAAAAGTAATGTAATGCATTACTTTAGTTACTTTTTTATGGAGTAACGCAATATTGTAATTACTGTTAAAAGTGGAAATTAATATGCCAACAAAATGAAACGTAATTTTGAAACTGGCTTTATCCAGTGTTCAGATTTATGTTCTTGAAATGTACGCAAATAAGTGCGCATTCACATTTAGCGTGTTTGAAACTATCGTACTGAGCTGGCACAGTGTGTAGGAGCTTTACCTGCAGGATGGACACCGTCTGTGAAAA